AAACAAGGAACAGGGTTAACCACAAGAAAGAAAAAAAAAAATTGCAACCAGGAACAGGGAAAAGAAAAAAAACTGAAAACTACAACCTGGGAAAGGAAGAATAAAGAATAATAAAAAAAAGGACAATAATAATAATAATAATAATAATAGTTTTAAAACAGACTAAAACAAACAAACTAAAAAAGAAAAAATCGGGCAGGGTGGGGCAGGGCACCCAGGCTCATCTGAGTACACAGCCTGGGATGAAATTCCTGCCAGCCTAGAAGGTGGGTGGGAGTGAGGGATGGCCGCACCTCCATTCACCAAGAGGGTGCGGGATGTAAGAGTAAGAAGGGGAATGTCAAACCTTTCTAGTCGTCCATGTCTGGAATGTCCTTCTGGTTCTCGGGAAGTGGAGCCTGTTCTTAAGTCCCTGGAATCTGGGAGAACGTTGTTGCTTTAAATATCCAAAATGGCCTAACCGCTTGTAAACATTGAAAATGGCTGCACTCTCTGGATAGGCAAAAGTCCACAGCTCAGCCTGCCTTCCTCTTCGTTGCTTCCCCTTTTATTTGCCAGCCACCAGAGCAGTCCTGTATGCAGTCCCTGGCTAGCAGGGCTGATTTTTAGGTTTTCTTGCATCCTACCACTACTCGGCAATATCCAAGGTGTCTGTGCCGTCAGGATTGCTGCCAGACCGCAGCTCTGTATGTCTCGTTTTTTGGTGTTTTCATGTAAATTCTTCTGTTAGTTTTAGTTTAGTCCACTTCTATATCCTTCTCTCCAAAGATCAGCGGTCCAGGATTGCCTTCTGTGTCTGTGTTTATTGGTTCCCCTTTTCTTTGTTGAAGAGGGTCTGTGCAGTCTTTCTGCCTAGTCCGCCATCTTATCTGGAGCCTCTTCTCAGTTTCTTCTAAGTATTTTATGTAAGGGAACTAGTAATCAGTGCTTTGTAAGTTTTCTGTATCTTTGGAAAGTATTCAGAATAAATAAATTAATAATTTTTTTGTATGAATATCACCTTTTTTTATTCAGGAAGAAAAATTAATATAATAAAAATGTTAGATTTTGCATATTTGTTTAAAATGTCATCATCCTATTTTAATGCACACACAACTACAAAGATTTTGACTTGCTCGTTTTGTTGAGGACCCAACTTGTAGGCCTGGAAGTAGTTGGCAGAGGGATACTGTGGATGACTACTGCCTAGGAGTCTTGAAGACCTAGGTTCATATCTATGTTCTGACACAAAGAAAGTCACTGAATTTCTCCGGGCCTTGTTCCTTCATTTCAAAATGAAATGTTTTGTCTAGATGATAGCTAACATTTCTCCCATTCCAAAATTATATTATATGTTCTTGTCCCTTCATTCCCCCTTTAAAAATATTATTGTGGTAAATATATATAAGAAAACATTTGTCATTTTAACAATTCTTATATGTATAATTCAGTGGCATTAATTATATTCACCGTGTTGTTCAACCATCACCACTATTTGTTTCCAAATTGTTTTCATCATCCTTAACAGAAACTTGGGAGCTGTGGTAGCATAGTGCCTAAGGCACTTGACTGCTAACCAGAAGGCTGGTGGTTCAAACCCTTCAGCCACTCCTCAGAAGGAAGGTTGGGCAATCTACTTCTATAGTGATACTGCCTTGGAAACCCAAGGAGTGGTCACTATGAATTGGGTCCGACTCAGTGGCACACAGCAACAACAACAACAACAGAAACTTAGTATACCTTCAGCAATAACTCTCTCATCTTTCCCTCCCATTTACTCTTGGTAACCACTGATCTACTTTGGTCTCTACATTTCTTTTAAGTACAATCATACAATATTTGTCCTTTTGTGTCTGACTTATTTCACTTACCAGGTGTCACAACTTCATTTCTCTTTATGGTTGAATATTACATTGAACAGTTATACCATGTTTTATTTATCCATTCTTCTATTGATAGACATTTGGGTTATTTCCACCTTTTGGCAATTGTAAATATTGCTGCAGTGAGTCCTTATTCTTTTAAAAGGTTAAATCAGGTAAGTTACAAATAAGTAAAAATTTCCTCCTTGTTTTTTGTACCTACCTTTTAGCTCGTGTTAGATTTAATCCCATTAGTTCTTTAATCTATTACATTAATACAGATATTTCCAACCTACATAAAATTGTTTGTTACTTTGAAAATATCAAAGTATAAAATTTGTAATAGTTGTTCTCTTGTGTTTGTTTTTTCAGCAGGTTGAACCAGTAGATCACATTGAATTATCTTCTAGCCCTAAATTTGATAAAGCACTGGCTTCAAAAACCATAAGCATTTCTGCAGAAGGTATGTGTGTGGGTAAGAAGGATTGCAGCCTAGGTTTTGTTGACCTGAATGAGTAAACCTTGCCTTTTGGAGTGTCAGAACTGGGAATGGTTTTCATATTTAAGCTGCTGCCATCAGCTCCAAATACTTATATTGAGATTATTTTTGTGATAAGCCGTGTGATTGATTCCTATCTCAAGGCCATTTGTTCTAAGAAGCTAATGCTATACACTCCACTGGCTTTTATACCAGAATGACCAGTGTAGGCTGGATCTCAGTTTCTGTGACCTCCGAGCCCTGGCCATACACTGCTGAGGACTGCACAGAGCCTTGTGCTGAGGTTCCTTTTTGTCCATGATCATCAGCTTAACTGAAATCTGAGGGTCTGGTTAAATGATTAAGCAATGAAGACCTGTTAACTTTCTCTTTTCTTATTGAAAGAATGAAAATAGGATAGATAAACTTTTAATTTCTGTGATATCTATTTGTTGTTATTTGGTGCTGTTGAATTGATTCTGACTCATTATGAACCTGTGTGACAGAGTACAACTGCACTGTAGGATTTTCTAAGCTATAATCTTTATAGGAACAGATCACCAGGTCTTTCTGCTGTGGAGTTATGGGATCGTTCAAACCACCAACCTGTCAGTTAACAGCCAAGATATTAAACTGTTGTGGTACCAGTGTTCCTTTTCACTGTATCTATAGTTGGAACTCTGGTGGCACTGTGGTAAGGCATTCAGTTGCTAACCAAAAAGTCCTCAGTTTGAACCACTAGTTGCTCCATGGAAGGAAGATGAAGTGTCTACTTCCCTAAAGGTTTATAGCCTTGAAAGCCCTGTGTTGTTTTTGTTAGGTGCTGTCAAGTCATCTCTGACTCATGGTGACCCTATGTACAACAGAATGAAACACTGCCCAGTCCTGTGCCAGCCTCATGATCCCTGTTATACCTGAACCTATCATTGCAGCCACTGTGTCAGTTCATCTTGTTGAGGGTCTTTCCCTTTTCCATTAACCCTCTACTTTACCAAGCATGATATCTTTCTCCAGGGAGTGGTTTCTTCTCACCACAAAGTAGGTTTGGCCATTCTCACTTCCAAGAAGCTTTCTGGCTGTACTTCTTCCAGGACAGATTTGTTAGTTCTTTTAGCAGTCCATGTTACTCTCAGTATTCTTTGCCAACAACTCAAAGGTATCAACTCTTCTTTGGTCATCCTCATTCGTTGTTCAGCTCTCACATGCATAAGAGGTGATTGAAAATACCATGACTTGTGTTAGGCACACCTTAGCTTCAAGGAGACATCTTTGCTCTTCAGCATTTGAAAGGGGTCTTTTGCAGCAGATTTGCCCAATGCAATACATCATCTGATGTCTTGACTACTGCTTCCATTGATGCTGTTTGTGCAACCAAGTAATAGGAAGTCTTTGACAACTTTCTTCTCCCTTTATCATGATGCTGCTATGGGATTTTTGTTTTCTTTGTATTGAGGTGTTATCCATAGTGCAGGCTATAGTCTTTGATCTTCGATCTTCCTCAGTAAGACGTCAAGTCATCTTCACTTTCAGCAAGCAAAGTTTTGTCGTCTGCATATCGCAGATTGTTAATGAGTCTTCCTCCAATCCTGATGCCACGTTCGTCTTCATATAATCCAGTTTCTCAGATTATTTGATCAGCATACAGATGGAATAAATATAGTGAAAGGATACAACCCTGACACACGCTCTTCTTGGTTTTAAACCATGCAGCATCCCCTTGTTCTGTTCAAACGACAGCCTCCTGGTCTGTGTACAGGTTCATCATGAGTATAATTAAATTCCCATTCTTCTCAATGTTATACATAATTTGTTATGATCCACACAATTGAATGGTTTTGCATAGTCAATAAAACACAAGTAAACATCTTTCTCGTATTCTTTGCTTTCAGCCAAAATCCATCTGACATCAGCAATGATTTCTCTCATTACGTGTTGTCTTCTGAATCCAGCTTGCGATTCTGGAAGTTCTTTGTCAATTACTGCTGCAAACATTTTTTAATTATCTTCAGTAAGATTTAATATTTTACTTATGTGCTTTATTAATGATATTGTTTGATAATTTCCACATTCTGTGGGATCACCGTTCTTTGGAATGGGTACAGATATGGATCTTTTCCAGTCAGTTAGCCATGTAGCTGTCTTCCAAATCTCTTGGCATAGCCAAGTGAGTGACTCCAGCATGGCATCAGTTTATTGAAACTTTTCAATGGATATTCTGTCAATTCCTGGAGCCTTGTTTTTCACCAATTCCTTCAGTGCAGCCTCGACTTTTTCCTTCATTACCATTGGTTCTTGATCATATGCCACCTCCTGAAATGGATGAACATCAGCCAGTTCTTTTTGGTACAGTGACTCTGTATGTTCCTTCCATCTTCTTTTGATGTTTCCCACGTCATTCAATATCTTGCCCATAGAATCTTTCAGTCTTGCAACTTGAGGCTTAAGTTTTTCTTCAATTCTTTCAGTTTGAGAAATGCTGAGTTTGTTCTTCTTTTTTGGTTTTCTACCTTCATGTCTTTGTACATTTCATTGTAATAATTGACTTTGTCTTCTCCACCTACTCTTTGAAATCTTCTGTTCAGCTCTTTTATCTTCTCATTTCTTCCATTTGCTTTAGCTACTCTCTGTTCAAGGGCAAGTTTCAGTCTCTTGTGACATCCATTCATAAGGTTTTCACTTTTCTTCCTTTCCTGTCTTTTTAATGACCTTTTGCTTTCTTCATGGATAATGTTCTTAATGTTATCCTACAATTTCTCTCAGCTTATAGACTGAGACAGACTAGGAAGAAGGAAGAGGCCGTCCACTTCTGAAAGAATTGGCCAGGGAAAACCTTATGAATAGCAAAGAAAC